GCCCCACAACTGACCAAAAAAAAAACAAAAAAAAAAAACAATCTCACAGACTTTCCTGCCTGGGCTGGCTTTGAACCTCGATCCTCAGATCTCAACTTCCTGAGTAGCTAGGATTACAGGTGTGAGCCGCCGGTGCCTAGCTGAATATCTGATATTTTTGGAATACTCTTGCTGGATCCAAAAAGTCCTGAGTGCTGATCCATCTCTAACACGCACAAACACTCTAAGTAGCGATGTTCTATACACAGAGCAGCTCTAACCATGGATGGTGCTGCTTATACGGCCCCACACTTCTACTCCCATCACCTGTCCTAGCTTGAGCTCTAAAGCAGGCAGCTCAGTAACAAGCCATCTACTCAGGCCAGGGAGAAAGCTTCCTGAAAGGAGATCCAAGAGGCAGAACAAGTAAAGCAACATGTGGACACAGACATTGGGTTTATTTTTGGGGGGGGACTGTGACCAAAGTCAGCAAGAGACAAATTCAGTGCCCCAGAAGTCTTCCTGAAGTCAATTTCAACCAGCTGGATTTCAGAAGAAGTTCTCTAATCATCTCATCATCATCTCTCCTTCCAGGACAGTAGTACAGGGCTGCACCGGCACTGTGGGAATCTTCAACACCTCCTGTGTCTTCTTGTCCTCTTAATTCAGACAGTCAGATTCTCTCTCTCATCAAGATTATCAATTAATTTTTTATTATTATATACTTCCAGGTTTTGGTTCATGGTGAAGGCCACTCCAGAAAGGACAGGACAATGACTATGCCCACCAGTCATTCCACTGCAAGCCAGTTTGCTCACCCAGCTGAGGGGACTGCAGGACCATTTAATCACAAAGATTAGAGCCCACAGTGAGATGAAAACAAACGGTTCTTTCTGAGTTCATGTCAGCGCCGGAGCCTTAGAAAGAAAGCATGTTTACACTCAGTACTGTCCAATGGGTAATACTTATCATAAAAATCTAAAACATACTCTTCAGTCTTGAATCCAAACTTCTGGTACAGCAGCATAGCAGGGTTGCTTGCTGAGACGTGAAGGGTCACGTCCTTGCCCATGCAGGTCTGCCAAGAGAGTAGAAAAATATAAGGTAAAATGAAAGGGCCTGAGGGAAATTGAGTAGGAGAAGAAACAGAAATCAAGGACCAACGCAGAGGCACGGCAGCACCTAGCTACAACTGGAAACTGAAAGGCATTTTCTGCTGATCTAAGCTTTCACAAGATTAAACTGATTTTTTTTTTTTTTTGGGTGGGTTGTGGGGCTTGAACTCTGGGCTTGGGCACTGCATTGTCCCTGCACTCTTCAGCTCAAGATAAGTGCTCTACCACTTGAGCCACAGCGCCATTTCTGGTTTTCTAGTGGTTTATTGGAGATAAGAGTCTCACGGACTTTCCTGCCCAGGCTGGCTTTGAACCATGATCCTCAGATCTCAGCCTCCTGAGTAGCTAGGATTATAGGCATGAACCACCGGCGACTGGCTAGATTTTTATCTGGAAGCAAAGGACCAATTGGATACTTTGTCAGCTTTATTATTTTATTTACAATTTAATTACATTTAATAAAATTATAGATCACTATCAACCTATGACAACTTTAAATAGGAGAAAATAGTAAATTCTTTTTTTTTTTTTTGCCAGTCGTGGGGCCTGAACTCTGGGCTTGGGCCCTGTCCCTCAGCTCTTCAGTTCAAGGCTATCGTTCTACAACTTGAACCACAGTGCCATTTTTGTTTTTTTTTGCTTATGTGGTGCTGAGGAATCGAACCCAGGGCCTCATGCATGCAAGGCAAGCACTTTACCACTGAGCTACCTTCCCAGCCCGAAAATGGGAAATTCTGCCTTTGCAAACTAGATATACTTTATATTACTCTTCCCCCCAAAAAACTTGTAAGAATTTCCTTTCTAGACCCACTAGAAAAGGTGTTAAATTTTATATCTATATATAAAATATATAACATATAAAACATTATTAATTATGAAGTCTTGAGTATCTTGTATAGACCCTCCAAAAGGGATAGAATTAATTTCTCTGAACTAACATTTCTGCATTTAACACTAGCCTAATGCCAGGGGGAAAGTAGTAATTGTCCTATAAACACAAAACAAAGTTTTAGATTCTTTAAACCAGCTATACAAAATGAGGTGCCTCAGGGCTGGGATGTAGCTTGGTGGCAAAGCGCTTGCCTTGCAAATGCAATGTCCTATGTTTAATCCCCAGTACCAAAAGAAAAGGAAAAAAAAAGTTTAAAAAATTAAGGTACCCCAAAAGTCATGCAAATTAAGAGCTTGCTTTTACTGAGAAAAGCACTGAAATGCTGAAGTTGACAGAGTCCCTGAGATTTACTGTGTTTTTCAGGGCCTGCATTAAGAATTCTGTAGAAGATCACCTGACAGCTTCCTTCATTTTTCTGCTTAACTGACAATGTTAGTCTAAATGCATTTTTGCATTTTGGAGACAAGAGAACAAGCCCTACCACAATACCAAGAACAAGAGCTTGTTGTGGGCATGTAGAGCAATTTTTTTTTTCGGGGGTGGGGG